CTGAACCTCAGAAATATCAAACATCTTCTCTCAAGTACGGAATAGCGAATATTCCTTTACCACATCAAATTAGATTATTTTCTTTAGGTTTTTCTCAAACTCTTTCGGATTTTCTTATTCATCTCAGAAGCTTATTTCTTTTATCATGATGAGTATCAAATTGCCTATCATGAAGGGGGTGTGTCAGCCAGGATTACTCCGATAACTCTCGTTTATCAGCCTCATTATTTAGTTGTTACACAACAGCCTTACCCCTGCACTACTCATTTACCACTACTAAAGAGAAAACGTGTTCTTTTAGATAGCAGCATATATACCTCCATAGGTAACAGTAATCTAGAAGGACAAGCGGCGTCCAATTCCTCGCGCCCAGCTTCACAGGGGTGCATTGTGCTTTCTGGAATTTCATTAAAATTTTTATTAAATTAGAACATGATTTCCTTGAAGCAAAGCCCATCACGAAGCTTCACTCCAGATATGGTTAATATGCCTGACGAGACCACTTTCTCAAAGTCACCGCTCCTCGCCTCAGAAGTTCAGATAGTTCTACGTGTCGGCGAACGCAAATTCATCACTACTCGCGAAACCTTAGTGGCTGAAAGCATATTTTTCAGTTGTCTACTATCGGGACGTTGGGAAAACACTCTGTTAGACGGCTCCTACTTTATCGACGCAGACCCGAACCTCTTTGAGCATATCCTTCGTTACCTTCGCCGCGGGATTGCTCCGGTTTTCTATGATTCGGAAAAGGGACACGATTACGCGTTATATTCTGCTCTTCTCGAAGAGGCAAGATACTTCCAAATAGACCGACTCGAAGACTGGCTGGAGAGCAAGCGATACCTTAGCGCTGTCACCGCACGGTACTCAGCAACAGAGCTTGAGGGTGTGTGGAACCTTTCCACTGATACAGACGTCGACGTACAATACTATCCTACTTGGGGAATAAAAAAAACTTACATCTGTCCTCGGGGGATCTGCGTGCATAGAGGGAAGCCGGAATCTTGTGGAAGAGGCTGTAGGAGAGTACAAGGTGGTGAAGAGGACAAGTATGATGAGGAGCCAATTGTTAGGACACTGGTTATTAGGAGGTGGTTAACTTTTAATAGAGAGGCTTGCTTAGTATAGTACGAAATCTATTTACATCGTTCTCTTAATTTCTTTTAACTATTTATTCTACGGGAAAGGTTTGGAGCTACCAAACAGTGCAAGGATAAATCTAGGGCATTAATGCTTATGACTATCTAAACTTGTAGCCTTATATAGCAGTAGAGCTACGGAATAGATATAACGGAGGGCCTCTCCTACTAGGCTTTGGAATTACCTAGTAGGAAAGAAGTAACCGTAGAATTTACCTTGAAGAATAATTCTAGGAAGAATCAAGACGTTAGTTATACAAGAGATTTTATTAAAGGCTTGTGGCTAGTAATAAGTAAAAATACTAACTTAAGTTAACTACGAGAGTTCTAGCTACTTGCAAGAAAGTGTGGTTTATATATATATATTAGAAGTCTAGGTATTAACTAATGTCAACCATCACCACCATAACCATATTATCTCGCTTAGCACGAACCCTGTCATCACTTTGCTTTTTCAACATCATGCCATTCTCTCCTATTAGTGGAACGATAGTCACCTTTCTACCCAGGGAAGTCGTGTATTTAAGCAGACAGTTTCACTCAATTTAATGCGACAGCAGTGTCCAGCTTTCTCGCACTGTTCAACAACTAAAGACTTCTATATTAGGAACTTTTCCCTCCGGATAGAAGTTTCTACCCGTATTCTTTATATTCTAGATTGTTCTTTATTTATAAAAGATTACGTGGATAGAAGACTGCTTAGAAGTACCTTTATTCTACTACTTTCTATTATATTTCTACGCCGATATTTCTAGATCTATTGCGGATATATATACGCCTGTATATAGGTCTTCTTATAGAAACAAGGCCGTTCACTTCCAAGCCTCTTTTCTATAAAAGCCGACTTATCTAATAATATATATAAAGAGATGTTTCTGATCTGGGTTAGTGCCAAACCGATAGTCCGTACCTAACCGAATCCGGTAAGAGCTTCCTTAATTGAAAGGTCTCGACTCTAGATCTGTAACGATCTATTGGATTTTGTCTGTGGCTTTAGAGGTTAGATTCGCGAATATCTGGCGTGGCCTAACGAAAAGATTTACTTGATGGGTTTAAGCAAATCCAGTTAGTCCGTGCGGGTTAGATCTGGAGAAATCTAAGGTGGGTCCTCCGCACGTGATTGCGGGCACATCCTTTACGTGTGACATTTCCTTTAATATCTGTCGGCCAGAATTACTCCGATAACACACGTTTTCAGCCTTACCTCTTAGTTGTTACACAACAGCCTTACCCCTGCTCCACTCATTCATCTACTGCAAGGAAACAATAATCACAAAGAGAAAACGTGTTCTTGTAGATAGCAGGTTATATACCTCCTTAGGTAGCAGTAATCTAGAAGGACAAGCGGCGTCCAATTCCTCGCGCCCAGCTTCACATATAGTTTAGACAAAATAGTATTAATTAAACGGTAAGCGATATCCATTCTTTCCCGCGCCTCCTCAGCACTATACTATATATGCTTCGATTAAGAGGTGTGAAGGTGGCGCGAGGAATTGGATGCTTCTCTCCCCTAAATTACTACTACTTAAGGAGGTATATATGCTGCTATCTGAAGGACATGTTTGCTCTTTGATAGTAGTATTTCCTTTCAGTAGGTAAATGAGTCGTGTAAGGGGCTAAGGCTGTTGTATAATAATTAACTGTAAGGCTGAAACCGTGCATTATTAGAGTGACCCTGACTGTCATTAATATTAGCAATGAGATTACTATTACTAAGCTATTATAGTTTCTAAGGTGATGTGAAGAACTATTTATATACTTGTTTCGAGCCCTAGTAAGATATTCCGCTACCTCTACTATGGTGGAACTTAGGCGATCTCCTAGGCTAAAAACCCCAGCAGACAACCCAGCAAACCCACCTGGACCCGGGACTCCAAAAGCCCCAAGACGGAGTGGAGAGAAAGGAGTAATAAATAGCGATGATTCAGATACCTCGGTAGTGAGAACCCTACCTTCAAAAGGAAAAAGCAAGTCTCCTGAGCTAAATGATACAATGAGTCTAGATAGCGAAGAAAGCGTAGTTGGTAGCGACAAGCCAGCAACGGAAGAATTTATTGACAACACTCCAAAAACAAGAGAGAAATCAGTGAGCCTAAAAGCAAGAGCTACATATACATGTAATGTTCTCCGTAGTGACGGCAAAACTCCGTGTAAGAAAAAGACTAAAGGGGGCCCTGTAATCTGCATAGACTAGATGAGGTCAATGAAGTATCATATCAGAAACCAGCAGGGAAGCCAGAAAGAAACACAAATGCAAGTAAAGGACTAAAAGCCATGTATAAATGCGGTGGCCCTTGTATTAACGGGAGATCATGTAAGAAAAAGACTGCAGGAGGGCCCTGTTGGCTTCATGTACCAGAGAAAATGATGGCTAAAAGAAGATCCTTTCAGCAGTCGATAAAAGAATATGAAAGATTAGTAAACGCTATAGATGCCTGGCTGAATGAATGAGTGGCTTGCCAAAAAAGAGAGACGTCTATAATATAATCATATAGTGTCTCTAACTCCAAAGCATCTGGAAATCAAAGAAGCAATTTCATGGTATAGAACACTTTTGAACGCTTTTATTTTAATATTTTTTTTGCCGCATACTATAGATATTTAGTAATAATGGATCTATAACTATGATGTACTTTAACTATTTGTGAAGCTGGGCGCGAGGAATTGGACGCCGCTTGTCCCTCTAGATTACTACTACCTATGGGGGTATATATGCTGCTATCTAAAAGAACACGTTTTCTCTTTAAGATCCTTATTCCCTTGCAGTGGATAAACGTGTGGTGTAAGGGGTAAGGCTGTAGTGTAACAACTGACTGTAATAAGGCTGAAAAACCGAGAGTTATCGGAGTGATCCTGGCTGACAGACGTCTATTTTCGAGGGGGAGAGGCCTTCCGGGGGCCTCTTAGCTTTTCCGCAGCGCAGCTAACTCCGAAGAGGTAGAGACGTCCTGATATAGCTTTTAAGGCTTCCCGTTCTGATTCGAAGGCGAGGGTTATAGAGCCGGCCTTAGCTGTCTGCCGTTTTTCTTCGGAGGTTAGCCAGTACGGGTTACCGACGGGATTAAGACCTTTATTAAAGGTCTTTACTTCGTCCCGAACGAGCTCTGCGAAAGATTCTCGAGATTCGTTTAGGATGTCAGCGGTTGGGACTCCGTGTACGGCTATCTTAAACCAGCTGCGGTTCTTAACGGCCGTTGTAATAGGAAGAACCGAGTCAATAACTGCTTTATTGTCTACTAGGAATTTCGCAGAGAGGCCGTCAAATGCTGTGAGGATGAGATTTCCCCGAGGAGAGATCGTTGCGGCAGCGATTACAGTCTTTAGCTTCGGAAACTTAAACTGGAAGGCCTTGTTGAGAGCCTGTCTTAGCGAAAAGGACGATAGGTTTGAGAGCTGCGACTGCGTAGCTGGGTTTGCGTCTAGGCGGAACGAGGCTTGTTTGATAACCTTTGGTTTATCTGTAACGGCTAAGGATTTTGCCGTATTCTTGCGAGTAACCGTGGTCCATTTCTCAATACTCTTTCCAGCTATTTCCGCGAAGCTCGGTTGGCGAGGCTGCTCTAGAGGTGAGGGGGCGGTTGGAGCGGTTGAAGTGGGCTGGGTAGGTTGGGGAGGTTGTAAGCGTATAGAGTTCGTGTTGCTGAGTCTCTTGGCCTGGTTGGCTAGAGCCCTAGTAGAGTTCTCTAGGGAGTTAATTTGCGTCGAGAGGATGGATTTGGTCTTCGAGAGGAGGCCGGTCTCGGTGTATTCACGGAAGATAGTTGTAAGGTCTAGGATCCGTCGAGTTTCTTCCTCGTCTTCTTCTAGATTATCTGCTTGCAGTAGGCAGTCGAGGGCTCCGCTTAGAGCTTCTTTTGCTGTGGTAAAGCCTGGTCGGAATCGGGTTCGTCGGGTGTCGGTAGGGCGTCGAGTATACTGGATTGGAGAGTTGCCTACTACATCTATATTTCTCTTGCGCCTTTCTATAGGTTGCGGACTGGCATTTAGGGCGTTTATAGACTCTCTCGTAGGTCTAGGGGTTTGGGTTGGGGTTGTCGGTTCGTTTTCCATATCGATATCTCCGTCACTTGAATCGGGGATAGGCGAGGATAGTAGGATCCTCCTACGCGTAGGCTCCGAGGAATTCAATTCTTCCTGGGGGTTTCCTAGGGTGTTATCCCCCATCTCGGGACGGGTTCTCCTAGTGGTTCGTGCGTTGGAGAAAATCGAAAATCCAGAAAGGAGTCTGGGGAGGGTTTTTGCCTAGGGCTAACGCTACAGCCAAGGCCTGCGGCCCGGTGCGAACTAATTTAGGGAATGTGTAGGCTGTGCTGATTCGATTGGTAGTGCTTTCGAGGCGTAGGGAGCGCTAATAGTGGCGTTCCCTTAGGTGCAAAAGGTGTAACAAAGTTGCATTGCGTACGTGGATTCCAGAGTAGAGACGACATCAACCAGTAAAACCCTATCTTATTCCCATTCTTCTACCTTTTCTTTGTCCTATCTCTGTTCCCTTTTCTCCTTATACTCTCAGATTGAATCACTAGTGTAAATTCCTAGCGTATTCCTTTGAATAGTCTGTAGCCTGCATATCGCTTAGGGCGATGGGTCAAGGTAAATGAATACAACTTAACTCAACTCAACTCAACTCAACTCAAATATATAGGTTAGACTGGATTGGGGTATATAGGTTAGTCCCCGATTCTAAAAGAACGTTAAACACAAATAAATAAATAAATATATAAAAATTCGTTACCGTAATCGCAAAGTACCTAGTCCTCAACAATCTAGCTAAGAAGGAGCTTAACGATTTCCAGGTGACCGCTATTAGCGGCAGAGTTCAACGGGGTCATG